ATTTTCATTTGTAGGTTCTGCGTTTGTGTGAAAGTTAAAGGGAAGATACAATTCTGAAAACACTTTTCTTTTTTCCTCGAGTAACATTAGTTGTATTAATCATTTATCATTGTATGTGTTATCTTGTTATAGTCTAATGTTATATTCTCCTTTGAGGACAATGCATAAATGAGTAAATATGACATTTGGATTAGTGGCTGTATTTGTCAGGGTGTGCACAGTTCCCATGCATTTCTCTCTTTTGAGCCATGGACTCTTTAGTGGTCACATGGAATAAAGCTATACTCTTTATCCTTTGTTACTAAGGTGACAGCAATTAACTACTGTACTCGTCTAATTGCTAACTATTTCATGCACCTATATGTAACATTTATTACATTACAAACCTTTCAAAGCAGTGGTAAGACCCACTCAATTGTAATACCCTACTTCCAGTTGCTCCAGTGAGCAACAAGACCGTGAAAACACTTTACACATCCTCAATATCAGCAGCTTTTTCACATCACTGCACACTATACTTCTAGCTGAATGCACTTTTAACTGTCATGTCTCAGCGTACTACAGTAAAGGAGTGCCTCTGTACGCACTGTAAGGTTAAGAGATGAGTTTAGGGGAAAAACTCATCTCACGTTTTCCTAAATTGCCAGAAACAGATTAAAAGCAGATAATTGGGACTTCCACGCATGTGGCTGGATGGGTCTGTCCTTTAGGCAAAATGATTTTCAGTCTGCACAGGTGTGAATGACAATTCACAGGAGAAATTTATTTACATTTTCTGAACGGGAACATCTCAGAGACTAGCGTTTTTGTATAGTTAGGCATAGCATATAATCAGTGGTGTATAAAGTACCTGAAAGCCACACTCAAGTAAAAGTACAGATATCTTACCAGAAAATGACTGGTAGAAGTTGAAGTCACCGTTTAGAAATGTACTTGAGTAAAGGTCTTAAAGTATGTGATATTTATTGTACTAGGGTGACCAAACGTGCCATTTTCCCAAGACGCGTCCTGGCCAGGATTTCTATATTGCCTAAAATATCTAGGTTTTGGCTTTGTTTGTGTGTGCAGACCGATCGGTGTATGACAGCAAAATACATCGAGAGCATTTTGAAAGCATAAGGAACCATCTGTATGGTATTTTGCTGTCATACACCGATCGGTCTGCACACGCAAACAAAGCCAAAACCTAGATATTTTAGGCAATATAGAAATCCTGGCCAGGACACGTCCTGGGAAAATGGCACGTTTGGTCACCCTAATTGTACTTAACCCTCTATGGTACCGTGTTGCCTTCAGGCAACTTGCAAGTTAGAATCTAACTTGCCTTCAGGCAACACAACATATTTAGTTTTTTTTTTTAAATAAAATGAGAGACTCATTTAATTGACCAATGCTGTCTCAGGGAAGTAGAAGTCAAATACTAATAAATGAGCAAACAAAAAAGTGGTCACATGACCCACAGGGATCCATTTTGTTTCCACTTTCAGGACATGTGCACATGTTTGTCCAGTGAAAAGTGCATTTTTCATCAATTTCTGTGCATATAATTGCCTACAAAAAATCTTAGTCACCTTCATTGGAAAGTAAAGAAGTATTTTCAAAAACGTTAAGGAATATTTCATCAAATGTATCATAGGAAATTACAAAAAATGTTGCATGTTGCCTCAAGGCAGCGTTGTACCGCAATGGACTCGCATTAGGCCATGCAGACATACTAGGTTAGAATACAAGAATATGACATTTGTAAGGAAAAGAGTTAGAATTATCTTGCTTGTGTGTGCATGCTTGTAAGGATAAAGGTTATGATTTTCATTTTTTACTTTGAAACAACACTGATTAATATAATGTTTTGCTATGACAACAGATATGATAGTTTAGTTATACTTGTGATCCACGATGGTACAATGTTGCCGGAGAGCAACAGCTGGATTTGAAATTTAATTTTTTATTAAATATGAGATGTGCAATACTTTAAAATCTAGATAAATCTGTTTGTTCAAGTGTTTGGTTAAAGACATTTATGTTTTCAATAAATATATTTCTTTTTTCTGCATGAAAATGTCAAATGTTTAAATGTGTCCATTGTGGAAAGTGGTCACATGACCCACAGGGATCCATTTTGTTTCCACTTTCAGGACATGTGCACATGTTTGTCCAGTGAAAAGTGCATTTTTCATCAATTTCTGTGCATATAATTGCCTACAAAAAATCTTAGTCACCTTCATTGGAAAGTAAAGAAGTATTTTCAAAAACGTTAAGGAATATTTCATCAAATGTATCATAGGAAATTACAAAAAATGTTGCCTCAAGGCAGCGTTGTACCGCAATGGACTCGCATTAGGCCATGCAGACATACTAGGTTAGAATACAAGAATATGACATTTGTAAGGAAAAGAGTTAGAATTATCTTGCTTGTGTGTGCATGCTTGTAAGGATAAAGGTTATGATTTTCATTTTTTACTTTGAAACAACACTGATTAATATAATGTTTTGCTATGACAACAGATATGATAGTTTAGTTATACTTGTGATCCACGATGGTACAATGTTGCCGGAGAGCAACAGCTGGATTTGAAATTTAATTTTTTATTAAATATGAGATGTGCAATACTTTAAAATCTAGATAAATCTGTTTGTTCAAGTGTTTGGTTAAAGACATTTATGTTTTCAATAAATATATTTCTTTTTTCTGCATGAAAATGTCAAATGTTTAAATGTGTCCA